AAGCGCTCCACCCTGCACCCGGGTTTAGTTCGGGTTTAGGGTTTGGGGTTTGGGGTTTAGGGTTTAGGGTTGAGGGTTGAGGATTGAGGGTTTGGGGGCTTAGGGTTTAGGGTTTAGGGCTGGACCGTTACCCCCTGAACCTGGGAAGCGGCCAGGTCAGTTTGAGCCTGGAAATAAAGGAGAATGTGCCTGCCACCTCGAAGACGGGCCGGGATGCCACTCGAAGCAGCATAGGGTTTGGGGTTTAGGGTTTAGGGTTTAGGGGGGTTCAGCATAGGGTAGAGGGTTAGGTTTTTACTGGCAGTAGAGTTTCTGGTTGTTTACCCTTGGGGGGTTCGGGTTTGCGGTTTTGGGGGTTCGAAGCTTGGTTTGGCTGATTAGCTCTGGGTAGCCTCAGGTGTTCCTAGTGTGCCCCCCCCCCCCCCCCCCCACCCGAACAAAGCCTGAAACCATGAGCCCCAAACCCTAAACCCTAAACGCTAGACCCTAGTTTGTGGCTGCTTGAGGTGTTCTGTTCTTGGGGGTACCCGTTTGGGGAACCCTGTGATCCAAGTCTTCTCCTGACAGTCCTACTTGGAGGTTCATGGTACTTATTAACCAATTCTATCTGTACTTCAAAGGGTTTAGGGTTTAGGGTAGCTGTACCTATAACCCATTTCTAAGCACCTTAAGTGCCCTAATATGGTTATAAGTAAAGATCTGAGTACAGGTATAATTGGTGAATAAGTACCTGAACCTGCAAGTAGTTCAAGGTGAAACGTCAGCAGCCAGCTCAACGCTAGTTTGGATATCCAGAACAAGCCCTCATGGGGTCCCACCCGCCCTGTGGATGTCGATCAGGCCAAGAGTAACAAGATTGCTCAAGCTGAGGCCGGGTTTTGGGTTTGAGGTTTAGGGTCTTGTGGATCTTAGAGGTGTTTCGGGGTACTTGGGGCGATGTAGCTGGTACACCTTCGGAAGGCTCACAGGTACACCTAGACCCTACTAAACTCTCGCACGAATGAGCGCTTGGGAAGATGATTAGCCCCCCAAAACAGTCACTTTCCCTTGCTTCGGAAACCCTCAACCAAGTATGGGGCCCATCAAAGGGAGGCGGTGCAAGCGGCAATAGGGAACCTTCGGGAAGCTCAGGGAGAGCCTTGGGGAGTTCAAGGAACGTCTTGTCACTACCGCCCCCAAACCCCAAACAACTATAAACCCTAAACCCTAAACCCTAAACCCTAAACCCTAAACCCTAAACCCTAAACCCCCTACAGAGGTTGGGGGGGGAGGGGGTCGGGTCGTCTCCTTGTTTGAGGGGGTTCCCATAAGAATGAGGATCATGCCTAGCATCTAGGGGGTTTCGAGACGCCCTGAGACAAGCACGAGACCGCCTCGAGGGTTGAGTTTCGGGCTCTATGGCCACCTCAACACTTGGGGTGTTGAGGGTTTGGGGCTTTGGGTTTAGGGTTCAGGGTTTAGGGCTTAGGGTTTAGGGTTCAGGGTTTCGGGCTTGGGGTTGAGGGTTGAGGGTTTAGGGTTTAGGGTTCAGGGTTTAGGGCTTAGGGTTCAGGGTTCAGGGTTTGGGTCCCAACCTTCCTTGAACCAACAATGATCCGCGAGGCTGCCATGGCGCAATTCGAGTGCGCTCGGAAGCAGGTCGCGCGACTGCTCTCTTCAAGGGGTTCAGGGTTTAGGGTTTAAGGGTTTATGGGTTTATGGGTTTGAGGGTTTATGGGTTTGAGGGTTTAAGGGTTTAAGGGTTTAAGGGTTTAAGGGTTTAAGGGTACCCTCATCCCTATAGCCTAAAAACGTGAAGCAGCCTAAACACAAAGACAAATCCCCAAAATCCCTTGAACAAGAAGCCTCAACAGCCCAATAGCCAGGTGTTTTGTCGAGTTTTGGGTCTGTGGCGAAGTCGGGTGAAGGATTTCGGGGCTTCAGCCCTTGCTGGAATATGGTGGAGACTTGGCTAGGGACCAGTACTGGTCCCGAGGAGAACGTGTTCCGGTACCGGGCCCATCGTGGGCGCTACCGACCTCCAGGCGGCCTAGGCCCTGAGTTTAGGGTTTCGCCAGGCGCGGGTGAGCAGATCCTTGCGCAGCCTGACGCTGCTTGGACGAGGCATCGCAAGAGCAGCGTCGGCATGGGTCGTTCGCGCCAGACCATACGGAGGCGCATCCAGCTCATTGAGCATGAGGGCGAGAAGGTTGAGATCCAGCCCAGTGTGATAGATGACCTGCAGAAGAAGTTTGCTCCTGCTGCCGACTGGGTCAGCCAGGTTGGAGCAGATGCTATCCAGCTCCATTACAGCTGCCGGAAGTGCCACGGGACTCCCATAAAGGCGTGTCATTGTAAGGGTTTAGGGTGTTGGTTGGGATGTTCCGCCTGATACTAACAGTCCTTAATGGGACTACAATAGGGGGTACTAGATTCCCTGTCAAGGACTGCTAGCATAAGGGGGAACATCCCAAGGTTTACGCTTTTCCCACAGCTGATGCTCTGAGTCTGGGTTTAAAGCAGGGTTTAGGGTTTAGCGTTTACGGTTTGGGGTGCAGGGGCTTGGTGTGTTTTAGGGCACCGGCTCCCCGAATCACTATTGAAATCCCTAAACCCTAGGGCCCGAGGGTTTAGGGTTTAGGGTTTAGGGTTAGGGTTTAGGGTTTAGGGTTGAGGGTTTAGGGTTTAGGGTTTAGGGTTTAGGGTTTAGGGTTTAGGGTTTAGGGTTTAGGGTTTAGGGTTTAGGAAACCCTGCACCTTAAATCCCCCTGACGCAGGCTGCGCAGCTGCTGCACGAGCAGAAAGAGAATGCCATGCGCCTGGAGCCCCCTGGCGCCAGCACTCCCCAACCCCATGAAGTTTAGGGTTTAGGGTTTAGGGTTTAGGGTTTTACGGGGTTTAAAATTTCGGGTTTTTGGGTTTAAACCCTAAACCCCAGACTCCAGACATTCCGACAGTTCAATAGGCACCCCTAATGATTATACCCTAAACCCTAAACCCTAAACCCTAAACCCTAAACCCAAAACCCTAAACCCTAAACCCTAAACCCTACTCCTAATCAGGATGCCCTTAACAGGCTGCAGCTGTTGAAAGCCAAGGGCCCAGCTGGAAGAGAAGGCCACCGAGATCAAAGAGCTTCAGGTCCGCACCGCTGGGGGTTTAGGGTTCAGGGTTTTGGGTTTAGGGTTTAGGGTTTAGGGTTTAGGGTTTAGGGTTTAGGGTTTAGGGTTTAGGGTTGATCTAGGGATTCAGGGGATGAAGGTGGGTTTAGGGTTTAGGGTTTGCGGTTTAGTCTTTAGGGTCTAGGGCTTCGGGTTTTAGCGGGAGAAAGCCCTACGGCTGGAGGGCTTTGGAGGCTTTTCGGGCGGTACGGTTTTGCAAGGGCTCTCATGTGAGGCGCCTCAAGCTAAGAGTGCTGAAACCCCAAGATTTCATGTACCTATAGGCTATAGGGTATGTATTTTCTTGATCAGAATCCCTAAGTTTAGGGTTTAGGGGTTTAGGGGTTTAGGGGTTTAGGGGTTTAGGGGTTTAGGGGTTTAGGGGTTTAGGGGTTTAGGGGTTTAGGGGTTTAGGGGTTTAGGGGTTTAGGGTTTAGGTGGGGGAGCCCGAGCGGTTTCACCACGCGACCCTCTTCGAACCCGATGTCTGAGCTCATGGGCTTAGGGCGGGTTCCTGAGCCAAAGACGCGAAAACTCTCAATGTTCTAAAACCCTAAACCCTAAACCCTAAACCCTAAACCCTAAACCCTAAACCCTATCAAGCCCTAAACCCTAAACCCTAAAATCCTAAACCCTAAACCCTAAACCCTAAACCCTATCAAGCCCTAAGCTCTGAACCCTAAAATCCTAAACCCTCAACCCCAAGCCCTTGTCTCCACAACCCCCCCCCCCCCGAGAAAAGAACAAAAGAATCAATACAATAAAAATAAAATGGTAGCATTATTCTTGCTCATAAAGGGTAATGTGGTTGCTGTCTACTTTACTATGTTTTTTTTTGTTGGGGGGGGGGTCTTAAGCAAACATCGGTTTAGGCTTCGCGGCTCTCGAGCCATGGGTTCCAGGCTCGGGGGCCTAGAGCTTCAGGGTTTGGGGTTTGGGGTTTATGGTTTAGGGTTTAGGTTAGGGTTTAGGGTTAGGGTCAGGGCTACCGGCTTCTTTCGGCGGTTAAAGGTCGCAGCAACCACCATTTCCGATACTGTGCGGTGGTTGCTTGCTCTTCAACCAGAACTCTTCGGGTTTAGGGTGGCCCTAAACCCTAAAGCTCTAAGGCCCCAAAACCCAACAACCCTAAAAACTTAAGCCCTGAAACCCTCTACAAGCCCCAACCCCTAAAAGCCCTCAAGCCTTAAAAAAAAAATCAAATCCCAGACCACCCCCCGTCCCCCCGCTTGAACCCTGTTAAACCCTCAGCCCTCAACCCTCAACCCTCAACCCTCAACCCTAAACCCTAAACCCTAAACCGAAGGAAGAGCTTCTGATTGCTCGAAAGGCCGCGTCCGCCAAGGCCATTTGGGTTCTTTGAGGTTTTTTTGGGTTGTGTTTGGTTTCTTTAAGGGTTCTTTAAAGGTTCTTCAGGTTTTTAAAGGGTTGTTTCGGGGTTTGTTAGGTTTTTGGGGTTTGTTAGGGTTAACCAGGTCTTTAGGTTTTTTTGCGTTTGTTCAGGGTTTCTGGGCTTTTGGGGGTTTAAGTTAAGGGTTCTAGGGCTTTCGTTTTGGGTTCTAGGGTTTTTGGGTCCTAGGGCTTTAGGGTTTCTGCGTTCCAGGGTTTTAGGGTTTTTTTGGGTTCCAGGGTTTGAGGGTTTAGGGCCGAGGTTTCAGTTCAGGTTTACGATGGCGGGTTTGAGGGTTGGAGGGCTTAGGGTTCTATTGTGGAGCTCGGGGCTCCTGTTGTTTTTCTTTCTTTTTTTTTTTCCTCTCTCTCTCTCGCAGTCAGCAGCCCTGTTGAACCCTAAACCCCAAACCCGAAGCCCTAAACCCTGCCCTGAGTCCCCTACCTGGAAACTCTCAGCCTGGGGCCGAGATGGGTTTTCCCGCGCGTGGCGATCTTTGGTCGGAGCTGGTGCCCGAGGGGCTGCTGAGTCTGCCGCCTGGCGGAGGTTAGGGTTTGGGGTTTGGGCTTGGTGTTTGGGGTTGAGGGTTCAGGGGCAGGTGTGGGTAGATCTGTGTGTGTGTGTAGGTGTAGGTGTAGGTGCCGGTGCCGGTGCAGGTGCAGGTGCAGGTGCAGGTGCAGGTGCAGGTGCAGGTGCAGGTGCAGGTGCAGTGTGGGTGTGTGTGTGTGTAGTTTTGTGTGTGATCGGCTAGCTCCCGGAATCAAGCCTTTAGCGGTTTAGGGTTTAGGGTTTAGGGCTTAGGGTTTAGGGTTTAGGGTTTAGGGTTTAGGGCTTAGGGCATCCCTTCACTGAGCCTGCTTTCTTGTTTTCGCGAGGCAGCCCCAGCTGGAGGCGCTTGCGATGTTGGGCCCCTAAACCCTAAACCCCAAACCCCAAACCCTAAACCCCAAACCCTAAACCCTAAACCCCAAACCCTAAACCCTAAACCCGGCAAGCCCTCTCCCCTAAGCCCTGAGCCCGAAGCCCAGAAACCTTCAGAACTGGGTTTTGAGGGTGTCGGATCACTGGTCTGAAGCCCGAAGCAAGGTATTCAGGCGATATGTTCTATGGGTTTAGGCTTTAGGGCTTGGGGTTTAAGTTTTTTCAGGCAGGTGCGCACGCAGCAGATAAAGACATCATAAGGTAGTTGAGCAAAGACAAGTCGAGGTTGACCATGGAGACGGGGTGCCCAGATATGAGAGGGGTTGAACACATTCGATAAAGGAGCTACCATGATGGTGTATAATATGATTGTCAAAGCCCCCCCCACCCCATATAAACGTAGAGAATATGTTCAACGTATATATGTATAAGTATATGCATATGTATATGTGTATGTGTATGTACATGTATATGTATATGTGTATGTATATGTATATGCATATGTATATGTATATGTGTTTGCATGTGCATGTGCATGTGCATGTGCATGTGTATGTGTATGTGTATGTGTATGTGTCTGTGTCTGTGTCTGTGTATGTATGCATGTATCTATGTCTGTATGTATGTATGTATGTATGTATGTATGTATGTATGTACGTATGTATGTATGAATATGTATGCATGTATGTATCTTCGTATTTATGTGTGTGTGTGTGTGTCCCTAAGCGCTTTACTCTTGAAACCCTTCAGCCCTAAACCCCTAAACCCAACAAAGTGCAACTGTCTTTGTCCAGGCAATCTGCCTGCCCTGTTGCAGGCAGACGTGCTGGGAGGAAGTGGAGATGGCTCCGCCGGCCTGGAGGCTCGTATGCTTTGTTTCAAGCCCGAATCTCACAGGCCCTCCTGATGGTTTTGGGGCTTCGGGCCTCTTTTCTTACGGGAGCGAAAGGGCGAGTGGGGGAAGGGCATCGGGTACTAGGAGTAGGGGCTGGGGTTGAAATCGTTTGGATTGCTCCGAGAACAGGCTCCCCCCCCCCCCCCCCCCGCCCCATTACATGTAACTGCGCCTTGTCAGAACAAAGAAAGGGCCTCCAAGATCGGGCCCACTGCCCCCCTCCAAACCCTAAACCCTGAACCCTGAACCCTAAACCCTAAACCCTAAACCCTTGTTTGGATCTCTTTTTCCAGGCGATCCGGGGGCTTCTGTCTGAGTTCTATCCCTTCAAGAAGGATGAGGACGCCGGAACTCTTGCTTTGCTCACATGTTGAGGTCCAGGCTTTTAGGCTTTGTTGTCCACATTTTGGGGGACCCTAAACCCTAAACCCTCAAGACAAAATAAATAGAAATTGTTGGTTTCATTCTGAATTTTCCAAGTTATTTGTCTAAACAGCTGACAAGCTGAGTTTAAGAAAATTAATACAAAACACCTCTGCTGAAACCTCTCTCCTCCCCTCCTCCCCTCCTCCCCTCCTCCCCTCCTCCCCTCCTCCGTTTAGGGTTTCGGGTTTAGGGCGTATACGGTTTATTAGGGTCGCGTTGATGAGTAGAAGGCCACCCCACGGACCTAAACACACCTCGGCCCTCCAGGGTTCAGCTTTAAGGGTTTAGGGTTTCAGGGTTTAGGGTTTCAGAGTTCAGGGTTTAGGACTTAAGAGTTTAGGATTTAGGGTTTAGGGTTGAGGGTTTAGGGTTTAGAAATTGCATTCAGGTAGCCTCCTGCGGGTGCCGTGGCCCCCCAGGAGTTCGACCTCGCCGGGCAGCTCGCCGATGAGCAGCTTTCAATCGCCACGAGCCGAGTTGGAACCTTTTTGTCGGTTTAGGGTTTAGGGTTTGGGGTTTAGGGTTTAGGGTTTCGGGAGGGTTGAGGGCTTAGGGGGGTTTGGGGGGGGGGGGGGAACCCCCGACCCTATAAACCATACTTAAAGCCTGTGAATCCTGTAAACCCTATAGACCCTGTAAACCTCAAAACCCTAAACCCTACAAACCCGAAACGAGAGTGTTGAGGGCTTGACTAGGGCCCAACTACCCATTGGCGGCCGAAGTACTTGCCATTCTCCTTTAAGAACCTCCTGTTCAGGGTAGCTGGGGTTTGAAGTGTAACAACCCTAAACCCTAAACCCTAACTCCGAGCCATTCTCATGGCAGGGGGGGCTTGGGTCCAGTTGGAGAGTTCGGTGTTTCAAGTGCTCAGCGTCGTGTTGTCGGTTTTGGGGTTTGGGGTTTGGGGCAGTGCTCCTGCTCCGACGGACGAACAGGGTCCGCTGAGCAGGAAATCGGGAGGCTGGCTCCAGTGAACGAAAGTTTTTCTTCGTTCCACACGACCCGAGACCAGGCCCTCCATAATGGCAAGGACATGGAGACCCGCCTGGAGGTTAGGAGCCTGAAGAAACAGTCATATCATAATATCCCCCCTGATACTTGCATCCCCTAGAGGAATCTAGCACAAACTGCACCCTGCCAAACTAACCTTTCCAAGTAAGCAGGCCCGCGGTAGCGGGGCTGGAAGGGGGAGGGGGGGGGGGGACCAGGCTTCGAGGGGTGTCGGGCTCAATCCGGGTCGGCCTAAACCCTAAACCCCTAAAACCCCTAAACCCCCCAACCACTAAACCCCCCAAACCCCCCAAACCCCTAAACCCTGAACAGTGCTTACGCCCGGATCTTCGAGAAGCCTTGTGTGGCGGAGCCATACGGGGTGTTCAACAAAATAGCTTAGGGTTGAGGGTTTAGGGTTTAGGCCGAGGGGGGGTTACGCCTTGTATGCCCAAAATAGCATAGAATCCCCTTAAAGTTTCGCAAGCCCTCATATAGATCATAGATCAAACCCGAAACCCTGAACCCTAAACCCTGAACCCTAAACCCTAAACGCTAAACCCTAAACCAAAACCCTAAACCCTAAGCTAATTCCCGCGCGACCCTACCGCCATCCCACCAGGCTCACGGCTGCAGCTGAAACCTCGAGACGGAAGTTGACTCAGTTGGGGATTCCTCGAAAGAGGGGTACCTCTAGTGAACATTAGGGTTTAGGGTTTAGGGTTTAAACAATTATGTCTGTACTTACAACCCACTCATAAGCCCCCTTAAGTGCCCGAATATGGTTATCAGTACAGTTGTTTGTACACTTCTAATTGGTGAATAGGTACCATGAATCTCCAAGCATCCCCCCATAAATACCCGGGTCCTTGCTGTTCCTTCTCAAATAGGGGCACATCCCAAAAACACTAAGACCCTATTGCTCCGCCCCCCCCCCCCCCTTCCGCCCAAAAAAAACACAAGAATATAAAATGAAAATAAATATCCAAAGTACCCCTGTCTGGGGGGGAACCCCCAGTTGGCTCCTGTACTCCGGTTTCGGGGATCAGGGGCCTGAACTCGCGGCAAAGCCGCGGTGACAAGACTGACTTCAACACCCGACAGATTTTTCTTAAAGTTCCAATTTGTGTTTTGGGTCAGCCCTAACTTACGCACCCAAAACAGAGGCACACTTTGCATCTCTTGCGCTCTACGCCTATGGGGGGGACCAGCAAGTAGAATGCCTACAGTGGCTTTCGGACAGCTTACTGTCCCTCTCTTCGCAGTGACACAAGGCAATCGCCAGGCCAAATTCGGAATGCCATCGACGATATGAGAGCCCATGTCAGCACTCCCCACATCCTGTCAGCATATTGGCCGTGTGGGCATACTGCACAAGTTTCAAAGCCGTTCTTGCAGGAGTTGAGTACCTTGCAAGTTCATCTCGCGGCGGCTTAAAAAACTAATCTCGCGGATACCTCGAGTGACAACCCTAAACCCGAAACCCTAAACCGCATCTCTCTTCAGCAGCTGGCGTCCGCTTGCGTCTGTCAAGCTCTGCAGCCTGTAGTTCGGCCCCCAACTGCTGTACTTGGAGGTTCATTGGTACTTATTAAACCAATTATAGCTGTACTTATAACTGTACTTCTAACCATATTAGGGCACTTAAGGGGCTTAATTAGTACCATGAGCCTCCAAGTAGCAGTCGCAATATTGACAACAGCATAGGGATAGCCCTCGTATTCGTAGCTGTAATTCTATGAATCGTCATCATCATAATCGGAGTGATGGAGGAAGAGCGAACCTTGATAGTCATAAAACGTGGCAAAAAGCAAGCATAAGAACACGAGTAATAGTAATAATCATCACATGAATGATGTGAGCCTGAGGGTCGTGGTGATGATGATGATGTTGTTGATGATGATGATGATGGTGAGGCCGAATGGTAGGCATAACCTCGTTGCTTCGTCATCGACCTTCGCCGTCCGACGCTGGCCGGGCTGGCTCTCCCCTCTCAAAGAGTTTTCGCGTCAGATGTCTTCATCGAGGTATGGGTTTACAGGATGTTCCAATCCCCAGATCCCTGAACCCGCGACCCCCTGAGCTCGTATGAAGCCTAGGGGCTAGGATGTCGTGCGCGGCTCTAGGTTCCATTAAACACACATATACCGCGAGCTCTCTAGCCGGTACTTGGGTTACAGGAGACACCTGGCAAAGAAGCATCCCGAAACACTAAACCCTAAACCTTCAACCCTAATCCCTAAACCCTAAACCCTAAACCCTAAACCCTAAACCCTAAACCCTAAACCCTCCTGAGTCCTAAGCCATGCAGCCACGCAAAGAGCCGGGCCCTCCCTTGGAGCTGCTCCCGTGGACTGCGGCAGCTCGGACGCAGGGCGACCCGATGGGGCCTAAGCCCTAATCCCGGGCTTAGGGTTTGGGGTGTGTAGGGTTTAGGGTTTAGGGTTTAGGGTTTAGGGTTTAGGGTTTAGGGTTTAGGGTTTAGGGTTTAGGGTTTAGGGTTCAGAGTTCAGGGTTTAGGATTTAGGGTTTAGGGTTCAGGGTTCAGGGTTTAGGGTTTAGGGTTTAGGGTTTAGGGTTCAGGGTTTAGGGTTCAGGGTTCAGGGTTTAGGATTTAGGGTTCAGGGTTCAGGGTTTAGGGTTCAGGGTTTAGGGTTTAGGGTTGAGGTTTAGGGTTTAGGGTTGAAGGTTGAAGGTTTAGGGTGTGCAGGGTTTAGGGTTTAGGGTGTGCAGGGTTTAGGATGTGGGGTTTTGGGGTTTTAGTTTTTCCCAAGCCCTAAGCCCTTTGGGCTTTCACCTCTCATCCCTGAAACCTCGATTCCCTGGGGCCCTAGGGCTTGGGACAAGTTTAGGGTTTAGGGTTTAGGGTTAGGGTTTAGGGTTTAGGGTTTATGGTTTAGGCTTAGGGTTTAGGGTTTCGGGTTTCGGGTTTCGGGTTCCCACGTAGGGTTGAGGGGTTCCCTCGGAGCAGAGGTCGCGTGCGCGGCGTGCGCTGTCTTCTCGGCGGGCTTGCTCACTGCAGCCTACCGCGATGGCGGAGCCTCGGCTCGGGCTTAGGCTCTGAGCCACCAACACCTCGGAACCCGGGGCTTATCTGGGTTGTGGAGTACTATACTTTAACACTTTTTTTGTTTCTGGGTTCCTAAACATCGCTTCTGAAACCGAAAAAGTATATACATGTTTCCAGGGTCTACTCCAAAGTAGGGTTATAGGCTGCTTCGCTCTAGACCCACATCCTATGAGTCCTAGGTTCCTGCAGCCTCAGAATCCGAAACCTGTAACTACCCTAAGGGTTTAGGGTTTAGGGTTTAGGGTTTAGGGTTTTAGCCCTAAAGCCCCAGAAGCTTACAAACCCTAAGCCCGAAGCACAACCAAGCCCCCAAACTCAAAACACGCTTTGGCGGGCGGGGGGGGTGGGGCTTGCGCATGGGAGCTGCCAGGCGTTCAGCTGGCAAGTAGTGTACCTACGTAGCTGGGCCGGCCCCTGTGGATATTGTATATCTCTCTTTTGGGACATTTATGTCAATTTATGTATCTCCTTTTGGAGATCAATAGGATCCTATTGGGAATATTTGTCAGAGGGTGTTAGGGGCCATCCTAGTTTAGGCTTTAAAGGGGCTTAGGGTTTAGGGTATTTTCAGAGGGTGTTTTGCCCCTCGCAAGATTGCTATAGGTACCGCCGCCTAGAAAAAGACCGCGACCTGGGGCGCTAGGTGAACCCTCAACCCTAATCTGGGTTTGGGGGGCTTATGGCTTTTGGGGGCTTCGGCCAATCGGGCAGCACCTTCGTTATCTTGTACAGGTGGAAGTTTCAGGTTAGTTTTCGGCGCTTTAGCCTCCGAAGAAGGTCAAGGAGTTTGTAAGTGTTCTGTCTGGAATGGACGAGAATTCCCTGCACATTGACCACCACCCCCGCCCCGAACCAAGAAAAGCAAGTGCCCTGTGCCCGAATTTGGGGCAACTAGCTTCCAATGCAGTCCTGAGGGCTAGTAACCTTGGGTTGCTACTGTAGGTGGGTTCAGGAGAGGATGGATCTTCGATTCCTATAAATCCTAGAGCGCGAGATGACACAATTCCTCAATCTCGAATCCCTCTTCAATCTGCTTACGAGGCCTGTGAACGCTAAACCGCAGGAACCCCCCTGCCCCAGATCCTGACTCCAAGCCCGATTCAATCCCTCAACACTAAACCCAAGTACGGGGGTTGTAACACCCTTGATCAGCCAGTACTTTCGTTCCTTGGCTTTCTCTGTCACAGAGCACCTTAAGCCCGTACGCTTTGGGCTCACCCTAAACCCCAAGCCCTAAAAACCCTAAGAACACTGACCCCACACCCTAAGAACCCTAAACCCTCATATCCCCAAACCCTCATATCCCCAAACCCTCATAACCCCAAACCCCAAAGAAACGCCAAACCTTCAACCCAAGGCATCAGTGAGGCGTGGCCTTCGGGCGAAGACACAGCAGCCGTCCGACACCACGCTGCTTCGGCCCCTGGGATGGGTTGCCCTAAACCCTAAACCCTAAACCCTAAACCCTAAACCCTAAACTCTAAACCGGTAGTTCTACTTGGAGGTTCAGGGTATAGCCCACTGATAAGCCCCTTAAAAAGTGCCCTGATATGTTGATAAGTACAGTTAAGATTTGTTAATAAGTACCATGAACTTCCAGGGTAGGTACTACCTAAAGAACCCTGAACATCCCTCAGCGCCAGACCTTATACACAAAAAGCCCTACTCCTCAAGCCTAACACAGCCCGGTGTGTAGCTTGAGGGAATTTGGTTCTAGGTTGTGCCGTGGTGCTTGATCCCCTTTTTTGTTGATGTTACTCAGGTCATCTGATGGAGGTCCCATGCAACAAGAAGGTGTCATTGTGTTGCCTCATAGCCCTGGAAATCCCAGAGGTACTGGCTTGTGTTCGTCGGCGGGAAGCGATTGGCTTGCAATTCCTCAGCCCAAGGGTTTAGGGTTTAGGGTTTAGGGTTTAGGGTTTAGGGTTTAGGGTTTAGGGTTTAGGGTTTAGGGTTTAGGGCTGAGCCTTTACGTTTTGGGTAAAACTGCTTTGATGATCAGGCAGTGATGCTTGTCTTCTCCGCCTTTGTGCTGGAGATCGGCTTCCTGCTTACAGGTGCGGACACACACACAGACAACAAAAAACTAAACCCTAAACCCTAAACCCTAAACCCTAAACCCCAAACCCTAAACCCTAAACCCTAAACCTATATATGTATATACATATATAACACCTCGAAGATGGGTCCCTGGCCAGGAGTTCTCTTCGGCCGGACCAACGACCAAGACCTTAGTGGCCGGATGGGGAACTACAGATTCTCGGCCTGCAAAGCCCTCCCTCCTTGTTTCTGTTTCTGCCCCAACGCCCCTGTTGCAGTTTCGCTCTCCTGTCATGCGGGCTTCCCCTTTTAGGGTTTAAGGTTGAACCCCAAGCCCTAAACCCTAAACCCTAAACCCTAAACCCTAAACCCTAAACCCTCCAGACTTCTCAGAGATCTCAGGAGTGATGGACTCGTTGCTCACGCTCTTTGAGTACAGCCTCAAGTTGGCGGGTGGGCGACTTGCCAAAGCACCGGGTTTAGGGTTTAGGGTTTAGGGTTTAGGGTTTAGGGTTTAGGGTTTAGGCTCCAAGAAATGGTAGTGGATAGGTTTTTTTTGGGTTCGGGGCACCTTATTGGGTCCGTTTGCGGGATGGACAGGGAATGGATGGAGGTCTGTGAGGAAGACATATATTCGTACAGGTTTCCTCCATTGCTGGATTCTATGCAGTTCTTTAAATTCCCTAAAACGTCCCCCAAGCTTGGGGACCCTAAACATATAAACCCTAAACCCTAAACCCTAAACCCTAAACCCTAAACCCTAAACCCTAAACCCTAAACCCTAAACCCTAAACCCTAAACCCTAAACTCCAACCCCCCCCCCCCCCCCCCCCCCCCTCAAGAAAAAAAAGGGCGCCTAAGAACCCTGAAGCCAAGGATCTGCATCTGGAAGCTCGACGGCTTCGTGCACACGGATCTCTGGGCCGTCGGTGGCCCGCGGCCGGTGTACTTCCTGCGGTTCCTGCAGCGCTTTGGCGCGATGCCTAGGGTTGGAGGGCTTATGGGCTTATGGGGTTGCATTGCAGGGCTTGCAGGGCTTGCAGGGCCAGGGCTTGCAGGGTTGTAGGGTTGTAGGGTTGCAGGGTTGTAGGGTTGTAGGGTTGTAGGGTTGTAGGGTTGTAGGGTTGTAGGGCTTAGGGCTTGCTTAGGGCTATTCAGGGCTTATTTGGGTTTGCCCATGTTTCGCCGGGGGGGGGGGGGGGGGGGGTGACCGCCCCCGAACCCTTGCACCCGATAAATCTTGATTTTTATATTTGTACATCTTTGGGGCTGGGGGCTTAGCGTCACAGCGGCCCTAAAATCGGACTTGTGGCAAAGGCCGAGGCTTTCCCCTCTGGAGCCATGAAGAGAAGAATCTTCCCCTTTCGCAGGAACTGTTGGAACCCTAAGCCCAAGTTCAGAGCTTAGGGGTTTTTAGGGTTGGTTAGGGTTTAGGGTTTAGGGTTTTTAGGGTTTAGGGTTTAGGGTTTAGGGTTAGGGTTTAGGGTTTAGGGTTTAGGGTTAGGGTTTGGGTTACTTCAGTAAGGTTTGGGGTTGATTCTCGCAGCCCCCGCGTCGAGAAGCCAAGCGCCAAACCATCTCAGGTGGTCCATAGCTGTCCCTGTCTTGATCCTGATCTCGAATCGCGCGTTTTTGGCCCAGCTCGGTTTTCGAGCGACGCCGCTTGGCGCAAAGGTATGCGTGTCAGTGCAGCCCTGGCACACTCATTCTTCCTTCTACTAGGACCAGGAGTAGGCCCTCATTTCTTTTTTTTGCGGGTTGGGGTTCCCTTAATAATCCCCTTAAAACCACAAAGGGCACCTTTTCATTCCTCGGTTACTCCTGGGTCTAGTACAGAGCGCATCATCCACGAATTGCGGCCGCTACGAATGCTAAGGACGGATGGGGTGCAGATAGGCTTCGATCACCAACGTTATTCCAGATAGGTTAACCCATAAGCTACCAACAACTACATCGTACCTACCCATTTTGGTTCAGTTGGCCCGCAAGAATAAAAAAGCCCGACATGTCGGGATGAAAAGCTGCATGCCTCAGCATTTTTGCAGGCTTCGTGCAATTGTTTCGGGGGCAGGTGGGGCAGGTTAGGCTTTAAACCCTAAAACCTAAACCCGCAATCATATATACCGGAGCTGGGACCCCTCCACCAGTTGAACCTCTCAATCTTCTTGAAGGTTCCCTATGTGCCCCCCCACCCCCCCCCCCCCCCCGAATGCCGTGCATACCATTAGTATGCCCTCTATCCGGAGGGATGGTGGATTCGGTTAAGAGCTTCAGGCCAGGGCTGAGGGTTGAGGCTTGAGGCACTTAAGGTGGTGAACAGGGAGGCTTCGGGGCTTGGGGCTAAGAACGGGGCTTCCTTCTCAACCGTACGATGCTGCCATTGAGGGATGGTTTACCCTAAACCCTAAACCCTAAACCCTAAACCCTAAACCCGAAACCCTTACGGTGGCGATGAGGCTTGAGCTCAAGAGGTGGATCGCTGTGCCGCAAGTCATAAACTTTCCGAAGGTTTTGGGTAGGATTTAGGGTTCAGGGTTCAGCACTTTAGGGTGCAAGGTTGTTAGCTTCTGTGGCCCTAAACCCTAAACCCTAAACCCTAAACCCTGAAGCCCCCCCGGCAGACGGTGATGCCATCCCCAGGCTGCTACGCTCTTTGCCCTCCCTGGTGGCCGTGTTCCTCTCCGTTTGGCTGCTTAGCAGCCCAGTGGTACCCTTTTCCTTTTCTTTTTTTGTTTATGGATTCCCTTATGCCTATTTTGTAAGGGTTATGGGCCATGGGTTCCCTTATGCCTATTTTTGTAAGGGTTCCCTTCATATGTTTTTGGTTCAAGGTTCCTTGCTAAAGGAACCAAGCCTTCAAAAAGTAGCCAACCCCAAAAAAGGGTGCCCCAGTGGTACCCCTTTCCCTTTTTTGGTTCAGGGTTCCCTTGTAAAGTAACCAACCCAACAAAAGGTGCCCTTATCATAATATTGGGCTACCAAGGTTGTCGTGGGTGATGGAGGTGACGACAGTGTACGCCTGGAGGCAGGCCTTTGGTGCTTGAACGAAACCCTACAACCTGAATCCTGAACCCTATACTAGGACCCAGAGGGTTTAGGGTTTAGGGTTTAGGGTTTAGGGTTTAGGGCTATTCCATCTTATTCCATTGTTTTCGGGTTTAGGTTCCCTCATAAACCCTGTGAGACCAAAAGGGTCACCCTTTTTATTCCTAGGTTACCCTTGGGTTTTCGTTTAGGTTCCAGTGTTTGGGCTTAAGGGTTTTTTCTCGTGGCTGGGCTCGACATCGTGGCGCAAAACCACTTTCGAGACCCTCAGCCCCAAACCCCCACACCCTAACCTAGGGGCTCCGAATAACCCAAAGTGGGAAGTCGTTGTAGACAGAAGGCTCCGCCTTTCGCATATACCTGGAGTTCGGGAACAATAAGTAAGCCCCGGAAAGACGCCTATCGAAACTCCTACACACATACAAAGTCCCATCCCCCCCCCCCCCCCCTACTTCAAACATCCCAACCTCGCCTCAGAAAACCCTCAACCCTTAACCCCAAACCCCAAACCCAAACCCTAAACCCTATGAACCCTGAAATGCTGCCGGGACTCGACTGGCGAACTCCCGGTCGCCTTGCTGTATCCGACTTTGGGGGAGAGGTTCAGGGTTTAGGGTTTAGGTTTAGGGTTTAGGGCTGAGGGTTTAGGAGGTTTAGGTTTAGGGTTTAGGGTTTTGGGGAGTTTAGGGTTAGGGTTTAGGGTTTGGGGAGTTTAGGGTTAGGGTTTAGGGTTTTTTAGGCCTAGCCTACCCCCCCCCCTTTCCCCATCTTTGAGCAGGTGGCCCTGCATGTTCGTCAGCGGTTTCTGCTTCGTAGTGGCGGAGGTGGATCAGCTGCGACTCTGCTGGCCGCTTGGAAGTTTAGGGTTTAGGGTTTAGGGTTAAGGGTTAAGGGTTTAGGGTTTAGGCTGCGCAACCCAACAGCCAGCAAGACAAAGATGGTCAAGTTCGGTTCCGTGCCGTTCTGTTCCGTCCGGACAGGCTTCGGCTGCTGGGAATTAGGGTGACCCCCCTGTACGTCCTTGCGTGGAAGAAAGGTGCGACCGTGCTACTTTTGGCGTGCAAAGTTGTGCGGTTGAATCGCACGGCCATCCGGAGCGAGCCCAGGCGGATGAGTCTGTTCTAGAACAGAGCGACCACCGGTACCACCCCCTACCCTGCTACCTCCTACTACCCTACTACTCCCCTACTACCCCCACTACCCCCCTACCCCTGCTACCCCCCCCCCCCGCCCGCGGGATTAAGGGGTGACGGCCCTTTAGGCCCCAGATAAGACATGAGGCAGTGCCGGCACGTGGAGCTCTACGGCCTAAAGCGGTGCATGGTGGTCTACCAGCGCCTCAGGAAGCAATGTTCAGGGTTTAGGGTTCAGGGTTAGGGTTTAGGGTTTAGACTTAGGATGTTCCCTTTTATACTAACAGTCCTTCTTAGGGATTATAATCGGGAAGGGGGTACGACAATCCCTATTCAGAACCGTTGGTATAAGGGGCAACATCTCAAGTTTAGGTCCTACAGCCCTGAGTCCTCGACCCGAAACCTGCCGCGGCAGGTTTAGGGCTACTAGGGGTTAGGGTCTAGTGTCAGTATGGGTTTAGGGATGTTAGGGCCATTAAAAGGGTTGTGAGGGTTTAGAGTTACTTCGTGTCTTCAGGGTTTAGGAATGCAACCGCTCTGGCCCCAGGGGCAGTCAGGAGGCCTGCGCTAGAGAGAAGATGCCTACCCAACTCCAAACCCTAAACCCTAAGCCTTATAAGCCCTAAGCCCTAAACCCTAAACCCTAAACCCTAAGCCCTAAGCCCTAAACCCTAAACCCTAAACCCTAAACCCTAAACCCTAAACCCTAAACCCTAAACCCTAAACCCTAAACCCTAAACCCGAACCCGAAATCCTTGATGAACCCAAGGCTGCTTTGCTTCTCCTTCTACACGGGCGTCTTCATGCTCGGCCGCTTCGGGCTCATTGGCCTGCAGCAGGAGCAGTACATCTACGCGTACTGCGACTCTACCGTCAAGGCCCCTATGTCGTCTAGGGTTTGGGGTTTGGGGTTTAGGATTTAGGGTTTAGGGTTTGGGGTTTAGGGTTTAGGGTTTAGGGCAACCCCAAACCCTAAAGAAGCAGGGCTCCGAAGCCTTTCTTCCACATTTGGGGCTAGGACCACCCTCATCCCTTTGTGTTCCGATGTTGTTGGGGTGGGGGAGGGCTGTTTAGGGTTTAGGGCTTAGGGTGAGGTTCCATGAGGTTCCTGGGTGCTGAAGATGGGTTTCAGGTTTAGGGCAGGCATTCGAGGACGCCATCATGCATGTTCGAAACTCCTACGCCCTAAACCCTAAACCCAAAACCCTAAACCCTAAACCCTAAACCCTAAACCCGAACCTTTTGCAGGTCTTGCAGGGCGCTATTTTGGCGCTGATCCGCGGCTGCGAAGATGCGCCTTGGCATGTGAAACAAGGTTTAAATTACTGTTATTGGTCAGTGTATAGAAGGTTCCTATTAATATTGGTGAGTGTATATACTTGGTGTCCTTTTGGAGATACAAGAAATATAAACCCCACTTCATGTGGGGTTCACGGGGTCCTTGAGCAGCCCACTGTCGATTGAGCCTCATCCCTATGAAGCCTAAACGCTAGAAACAGCAGATTTCCATAGGTCTGGTGGCGGCAAGCAGACCCTTGAACAACGCAGAATGTGGACCCTGAAAATAGCCCCGAATAGGGCCGAAATCGTCCCGGGATATGGGGCGGGAGCTGCGGATTCCCCGTTGTGAGGCTGGATTTTCAAGCAAGAGTTTGCAGCCCCAAGCCCGATGTAAGGCGGCGGATTTAGGGTACCCTTTTTTTTTTTGTGTTCAAGGTTCCTTCTAAAAAGTAACCAACCCAAAAAGGGTACCCTTGTTATAATATGGTTACGGTGCTGCAAGGTCCTGACTCAATGACTTAGAGACTGCCCATAAATCTTGAAAACCCATGCGGCCCCCCACCCTGCCCAAAGATCTTGAAAACCCATATGCCCTCTCCCCCCCCCACCCAGGCAAAGACGATCCACGTTTGGTATGCAGAGGCTGTCGCGTACAAGAAGGCCCCGCAAGGGGAAGTGGTAGGGGGCGTGAATCCCATACCATTTGGGGTTCAGAGGGCTGGGAGTCAGGCTTCAGTGGTTCAAGGGTTTTGGGTTAGGGTTTGGGACATTTTTTTTGGGTCCTGAGTCCCGAAACCCGAATCCTGAACCGGGGTTCTCTACCGCCCTAAAACCCCAAACGATCCGGAGTGCTGAGCCCGAAACCCTAAACCCTAAACCCTAAACCCTAAACCCTAAACCCTAAACCTTAAACCCTGAACCCTAAACCCTATGCGGAGATGTCACAGGACATTGAAGCAGTGTAAAGAGGGTTGAAACAACCCGTTGTATTTGGCTCAAGGATGGCATCGGAGGCCGTCAGCAAGGTGTGTGCAAAAGTAGTGCCCGCAGGAGTAGGGTTTGGGGGTGTTGGTCTAGGATCCCGTGGTTGGGTTGGTTGTGTTGCCTTAGGGCCGGTAACCCCACACTGGACCCCTAGTCCGAGAGTCCTGGCCGGTACCCCTTCAGGGATCCAGGAAACGGAGAACAACAGAATGAAGAGCAAATTAGCGGCCTTAAGGGTTGATATCGTGGTTCCTTTTCCCCTTTCGGTTGCCCCCCGTACCCTACACCCTAAACCCTAAACCCTAAACCCTAAACCCTAAACCCTAAACCCTAAACCCTAAACCCTAAACCCTAAACTCACATGGTTGCCCTGCTCGATCGCCGACAGGACTTCGATGCCATCCTGAAGCTGGCGCACGTGCCGATCTTTACCATGCGAACGGACTTGACGATTACTCGCAGCCGGGCGGCATTGCTATAGGGTTTAGTAGGGTTTAGGGTTTAGGGTTTAGGGTTTAGGGTTTAGGGTTTAGGGTTAGCCCAGTGGTGCCCTTTACTTTTTTTTTGGCTCTGGGTTCCCTTATACAGTAACCAACCAGCTGGGTGGCATTGATACCTTGGTAGCCCAGTGGTACCCTTTACTTTTTTTTGTTTTTGCCCTGGGTTCCTTAAAAAGTAACCAACCCAAAAAAGGGTCCCTTGTTATAATATGGTTACGGGCCACTAGAAACGGAAGCCCGAAGGTACTTCCCGGCGAAGAACTGGTAGGGTATAGAATGCCATAAAACGCGCGAACAGCCCTGTCTCAGCCTCCCCGACCCCAAATCCCGTGAACCCAAAGCCCCTGAACTCCTGAACCCAAAGCCCCGACACCGCGACCCCCCGAATCTTGCAGGTTGGGGGAGTTCTGGGTTTCACAAACTTTCTGATGCCTCTATGATGATGATTGTCATCCCGACGGTGATGTTGCTGTTGCTGGCTGCTCTTAGCTGAGTACTGCTGTTCATCTTGTAGTTTAAGAAGATGTTTGTTCTTAGGGGTCAGGGCCTCCCATTTCCCTTGCGGCCATACCGAAACTAGTATGTGATTCGATGAGCTGAGGAGCAGTTCAGACAAGCCCAAACCCCCAGGGTTGAGGGTTTAGGGTTTAATTAGGGTTTAGGATTTATGGTTAATATGGGCCCTTGGGTCGTATCAGGGGGGCACTTTGGGGCTTCCGAACTAAGGGCTAATACTATAAGGGCCCTTGCAACTGCAGACGCCCTAATTCAACCCCTAAACTCGTAAAGACTGAACCCTATAATATTCATAATAATATAAATAAGAATAGTAATAATAATTATAATAACCCCCACACTCCCACACCCTGTGGAGACCTTCTGTCGCAGCCCAAGGAATGAACGAGACCGCGGTAGCATCTCGGCGTGGGAAAAGGGTTTCTAGCTGCCGGAGCAATCTCGGTTTAGGGTTTAGGGTTTAGGGTTTAGGGTTTCGGAAGAGCGAGTTTTGGGAAGGTACCTGGGAGCTTGGGGAGCTTGCAGGGAGCACTAGGAATGTCAGGTTACCCGGCCCCCTACACCCTCCCTTCTGCAGGTTAAGGTTCCCCTAAACCCTTAACCCTTAACTCCCTAAACCCTAAACCCTAAACCCTAAACCCTAAACCCTAAACCCTAAACCCTAAACCCTAAACCCTAAACCCTAAACCCTAACCCCCCCCCCCCCCCATACCCCGTAACAGGAATTGCTAGAGCACTACGGCCGCAGCCAACTCATTGGCCGGAGCCTGAGGAGTGAATGGTTGAGATGCTGCTTTTGGATCACTGCCGAAACTCCTAGCAACCCGGAGCCCGACACCCTGTAATTACGTTGAGGGCTTTTAAGTTTAAGGGGCGTATATAGGGTCTTCCAGGCTTAGGGGGCGGGTTTTGAGTTTAGGGTTTATAGGGTTTAGGGTTTAGGGCTGTCGTGGTCTTACCTGTCTTACAGCGCCGATTGAGTAAGCCTTGAACACCTTAACAATGGCTGAAAAAACCTTGAAGTCCCACACTGGGCTAGTAATCATGGGTTCCCCTACTACCTACTACCCCCTGATTTTCTCCCATAATTAAGGCTATGTTGGGAAACCTAGGGGGGGGGGGGTAGTATAGAGGGGGGTAGTAGGGAAACCCATGAAGTAAGGTCAATTGAGCATGGCTTTGTTGTTTTAGTTGCACGCATGTTTGGCTTGCATTTTGTTGTATCCTGCGCTTTTTCAATTCCTTGACGCCCAAATCTCTGAGCTCCCAAAACCCTTTAGGGGGTTAGGGTTTAGGGTTCAGGTTTTTTGAATCCCAAAGGTCCTATGACTCAGAGGTTACGAAAGGCTCCTGAACCTGAAGCGACGCTTTTTTAAAGCGTGCTTCAGCCGGTTCTTTGTTTGCCCCATTTGAGCCCCACACAACTGGAATCCTAGAAACTTGAACCGCTCTCTCTGGGTCCTGTCAAGGGCAGGTGTGCCCCAAACCCCAAACCCCAAACCCCAAACCCCAAACCCCAAACCCCAAACCCCAAACCCCAAACCCCAAACCCCAAACCCCAAACCCCAAACCCCAAACCACAAACCCCAAACCCCAAACCCCAAACCCCAAACCCCAAACCCCAAACCCCAAACCCCAAACCCCAAACCCCAAACCCCAAACCCCAAACCCCAAACCCTAAACCCTAAACCCTAAGCCCTAAGCCCTAAGCCCTAGGCCCTAAGCCCTCAGCCCCAGAACGGAACGTATCTCCTGACCATCTGCTAGGCTCCAGCTTGAACGATATCCTTGCCGACGGCAGCAAGGAGGCAAGGACCCTAAACCCGGAATGATTACTAATCGTATTCTCTTATGTTTAGGGTTTAGGGTTTAGGGTTTAGGGTTTAGGGTTTAGGGTTTAGGGTTTAGGGTTTAGGGTTTAGGGTTTAGGGTTTAGGGTGTCCCTCTATAAGTATATCATAAGAACCCCCCCACCCCCCACCCCCCCGCCAGTCGCATAAAGTCAACCGAAGACCACCTCCATCCTGTGGGATGTAGGGGGGAATCCCCAGCATAAGCTGGTTGGTTGTGGGTTTCGGGCTGAAGGGTGTGCAGTAGCGAGGCTAAACCTGCAAACATCGCAAGTAGGTAAGTAGGGTACGAAGGCCCGGCGGTGTGCTTGGTAGCCCAGTGGTACCCTTTACTTGTTTTTTTTTGCTCTGGGTTCCCTTCTAAAGTAACCAACCAAAAAAAGGGGTGCCCTTGTCATAATATGGTAAGTGTGGGAGATTTAGAGGGTCCTGGAGGCCATCCACAAAGTGCTGGAGACGATGAAGCAAGACCACTGGAGGACCCCAGTGGCATTAGGGGTTAGGGGGGTTTAGGGATTCAGGGTTTAGGGTTTAGGGATTAGGGATTTAGGGTTTAGGTTTTAGGGTTTAGGGTGGTTGAGGAACTTGGCCCCGAGCGATGAAACCAAACACCCGTGACAGTGAACAGTACTGCCGTCAGGAACCATCAGCCCAAAAACGAGGGTCACCCCGAAAACCCCACACCCCCAAGCCAAACTTAACCCTCCCGAAGCCTCAAATTGCACCCAACTAACCTCAAGCATCTCAAAAGCACTGAACCCCAATTAAACCCTAAACCCATAAAACCTCAGGCACTGAACGCACCCAAGAAAACCCTACCAGACCAGCAAGCCCTATGCCATAAACCCTCAGGCCTAAAACCCCAGGCCCAGCAGCCCCAAAACCTAAAACCCTGAACCCCTAAGCCCCCACACTCTAAACCCATAAACCCGAAGTCCTAAAACCCTACCTGGAGGTTCATGGTACATATTAACCAATTAGAACTGTACTTATAACCCACGTATGCGCCCCTTAAGTGCCCTAACATGGTTATTCGTACAATTATATGCACAGCTGTAATTGGTTAATAGGTACCATGAACCTCCAAGTAAACTCCTCAGCCCCAAAACCCTAAAACCGTAAACCCTGACCCCTAATACCCTAGACCCTAAACCCTAAAACCCTTGCCCTGAACCCTAAACCCAAGACCCTAAACCCTAAACCCTAACACGAAAGGAGCTGCTCCGGACTCATGGAGGTGAGTTTCAACGCTTCCGGCCGGGGGACCTGAAAGTGCCGGCCCTTCTTTAGGGTTTAGGACGCTTGAAGCCCTTCAGATCATGCTGTCGGGCACAAGCTGAGGCTCTGACAAGGAGGTTTTCCTTCTCCTCAACCTTGTTCCAGTGGACGTGGAGGTTGCAGCCAGATCGCAGACATTGGCTCGGGGTCAGCATGGTGGTTTCCTCAATTTGGGGGGGGGGGGGGGTTACCTTATTGGGGTCGGGTTTATCAGGATATCCAACTATTTGGGGGGGTGTATATTGGGGGCCCCCTATTTTCGTAAGCACTGAGATTGTCTCCTCCGAAGCTCTTTGTAATGCTAGGGCCATCAGCCATCAGAGAGTTTATGGCTTCGCAGGGTCTGAGGGTCGTGCGGGATGGTCGTTCGCGCGAGTTTTTCTTCAGGGTGTAGGCCGGGCTCAGGCGTGTTTGACATGGCTGTATGGGGTTGCGGGCGTGTTTTTTGGGCCTGCACATGATGTGCCAATATAGAGTGAGGGATGAAGCCCTCAGCCCCAGACAGCAAGCCTAGGCCCTAAACACTAAACACTAAACCCTAAACCCTAAACCCTAAACCCTAAACCCTAAACCCTCTCTTACTATGTATATTTAAACCCTAATGACCTTCGTGACCATGTGGTTTTTTTTCTGGGCCCTAAACCCTGACCCCCTTCGTGACCAAATGTTTTTTTTCCTGGGCCGTGCCTCCAAAAACACCCCAAATGAGGGGGACCCCAGGATCGGCCCGGGTCCCAGTTCAAAATGCGATTTTTTAGTACTGAAATCGACGCTTCTGGGTGGGCTCTCGTTTTCTGGATTTTTGATCAAAACCGAGCCTTTGGGCCCTAAACCCTGACCCCCTTCGTGGGCAAATGGTTTTTTTCCACCCGGGGGGGCCCTAAACCCTGACCCCCTTCGTGGGCAAATGGTTTTTTTCCACCCGGGGGGCCCTAAACCCTGACCCCCTTCGTGGGCAAATGGTTTTTTTCCACCCGGGGGGGGCCTAAACCCTGACCCCCTTCGTGGGCAAATGGTTTTTTTCCAGACCCCCTTCGTGGGCAAATGGTTTTTTTCCACCCGGGGGGGGGGCCCTAAACCCTGACCCCCTTCGTGGGCAAATGGTTTTTTCCGCCCGGGGGGGGCCCTAAACCCTGACCCCCTTCGTGGGCAAATGGTTTTTTTCCAGACCCCCTTCGTGGGCAAACGGTTTTTTTCCACCCGGGGGGGCCCTAAACCCTGACCCCCTTCGTGGGCAAATGGTTTTTTTCCACCCGGGGGGGCCCTAAACCCTGACCCCCTTCGTGGGCAAATGGTTTTTTTCCAGGGGGGGGGGGCCCTAAACCCTGACCCCCTTCGTGGGCAAATGGTGTTTTTCCACCCGGGGGGGCCCTGGATTTTTGACCAAAACCGAGCTTCACTGGCTTCAGGATGTTACGTTCTGTCAAGGTTTTTCAAAGTTTTTCCGTGTTTTTTAAGGTTTTCCAATGTTTTCAGGGTGTTTCAGGGTTTTTAACCCTCAATTCTGATGACGGGCCACCCCTGCGACCTTTCCACAGCCTAGTTTTGGTCAAGGGGGGTCGTGTTTTTCAACTTTAAAGGCAAAATCGTCTTGAAGACCCCCCGTGGCCTCAAACTCTGACCC